AGATTTTACCAGAAAGAAGAAGGTGCAAATATAAGCTAATTTTCATAACTCAATTTTCTTATTTTTCACCCTTTTTTTTAAACTTTGTGGTATTGTTTGTTTTCCTCATAGTCTCGAGTGCTGGTGGATGAGGCTGGTGCTTGGTCAGAAGAGTTCCCTCTTGATACTGTTGGAAACCCGGCTCGTATTACTTGCAAAGGAAAAGACAGAGACTTTGAGGTGTGTCCATGCAAATAATTACTGCATCTAATCTGTTATGTCGTTCAATCATGGGTTATTAGCTTACTGTGGATATCAAGCTTTGCCAATCTGGTTTGACAAAAATAGTTACTTTCTGTCCGTTCTATCTGGTCTCCAATCTTGGAAAATGGGACATGCAGGTCAGGGAAGAGGGGCAGTCAACATGGGTAGACGTACCAGCAGAAAAGGTATTTTTTCACTTAAATCATACTATCCGTTCCAATTTCTGCCACTACCATCATGTTACCTTTGCAATTCTAAGTGCGTCGGAATATGGCCTCAGCAAAGATCAACACGGAAGTTTCTCTGTGCTAGATATGCGGGACAACAGGATGAGTCGCTTCTATTCCCAATTACAGAAAACCTTGAAACTCTCTGTCATGTAAGTGGCATGCTGTCTATTTGACATTTATTTCTTATCACAAATCCATTCATCGATGTGCAACAGCTGGTTCAGGTCGACAACGATAATATAGGCATAGGAGTATGCGTTTCTACCTCAGAATCATCCGTGGCTATCCATTTAACGCCGTTCCAACCTGGCATGGCTCCTGTGTGCATTATGAACCACCTCAACGTAGGATTTTTACTTACCTAGAAGCATTTCATATAAAATCATCTTTGAAATTGTAGGTTCCTGTGAATTTTGGACAGAGAGGACACACCATGGAACCACTGCCCAGCAACGAAATGGCTTTTTTCACTTGGGACAGCGTCACCGAGGATAGGATAATGCATGTTGGTGTTTAACTACCACATTGACGCTTTTTGAGTACTTTTATGTACGAATCCTAGTCTGAGAAAAAGGTTTATTTATTTGTATATTTCTTCTAATTTTATGCATGCCAATCAAATGAAGAGAAAACCATGGTGATATGTTTGTTTCGCCACATCTGTTTAGATTTTTTTCCTCACACTTCAAAATTTGCTTTCTCAAAGTGAATTTGATTGATACTTCTATTAACATGCATTGAGGTGTATTTCAGTTCACCGTTGGAGATTACAAAGGCGAAGACAAGCTGGATC